ATAAACCACCATAATCTTCATTAAGTGATGGTACAGCATATTGTGAGACAGTGTATTATTGCTTCATATCTACAATAACAATAATTATTATTATAATAGTTTTTATTAAACAAACTTGTTGAATAATACATTGATTTGTGCATTTAAAATAATTAGAATTAAGAAATAATTAAGAATAATTAGAATAAATCGATAGAATAAATGAAAATCAGTTGATTAAATGCTTTCATTTAGTAAAAATTACAAATAATAATAAGGTAATATGAGTTAATTTTAGTTAGTTTGGTTAAGATAGATTAGGTTTAACTAGTTAATCCTATAATAATTTATAAGTTAATTTGTTAAGCAAATGTCATACACCCAATTGATGTTTTGATTAATTTATTAAATTGCATAAAATGTAAATCAGATTTCTTTCTCAATTGGAAAATTTACCATTTTTACCAAATGACAATTTAACTAACTTTAAATTAATTTTATAGATTAATTGTACATTTAACTAAAATTTTAACATAAATTTAACAACTGATAAAATATTTGTAATTTCATTGAACTGTAGTCTCAATGTATGTGAGAAAGTGTTAGCATTCATATTAAAAACTTTATCAAAAGTACATTACATTTCAACTTCTAATACCTGTATTATTGAAAAACGAAGAAACTTTCCAATTAAATGAAACGTTGTATGAATTGGTGCTGAAAAACACGTTTATCTGTATATAAACAGAGAGCCCATCATCTCATCAATTGGTCCAAAGAAATGGCCGCCAAAGATGTGGTGATTCCGAGAAATTTTGTGTTATTACAAGAACTAGAAGACGGCCAAAAGGGTTCGGCCGACGGGTGCATCACTTGGGGTCCGGAAAACGACAGCGACATGAGTCTATCGCACTGGAGGGCAGTGATCGTGGGTCCGGCGCACACGCCGTACGCCAATCACATGTATAACGTTGGCGTGAATTGCGGTCACAACTATCCGGACGAACGGCCGACTGTGCGCTTCCTCTCCGCAATTCGTTTGAATGGTGTGAATGAGACGACGGGTGCCGTCGACCCAAACAAATACCCGGCACTCAGTCGATGGCAACGCCATTACACCATCAAAACAGTGCTCATGGAGTTGAGGGCCGCGATGGCAGCCGTGAGGGGTAATGCACGCCACGGACAACAGTCCCGGTTGGCCACTGCCTTCCACTAGTCACTCACGTAATGCTCAAATATTATTACTTGCTAGTTTGTTTTATTGTCAATTAAAATTATTATCACGTTATATTTATTCTTACTGTTAATTAATAGCAATTTTTAATCAAAGCCTAATTTTTCTAATAAATGAAAGAATTTGTTTTATTTTCACTTAAAATACAATTTTTTTGTATCTTTAAGTGTATTTCTATTCAAACAGTATTTCCGATTAATTAAAGTGCATATATTTAAAAGTTTTAAATACAACTAGACTAATAATTTATACTAAAACATTATATTGATTTAAGCATCCGCTTGTTATAATAAATACATCGGTCAGTTTAATAGTAGCATTCAATATGTATACCAATTAACTATCCCTAATTCCTAAAACTATAAATTACATGATGCGTCTTTTATGCCGTAATGGTTTGTATAACATTTACTAATTAATTGATTCAATCGGTAATTAACACATCGCTAGACATACAGTACAAATGAGCACATTATACGGTATAATCAAACGAATTTTAATCCAAATTCAAACAGGTATTAAAAGAAATACAAAATAAATCAATAAATATATTACAAAAATGAAACCAATTTTATTAAATCATAACTTGATTTTGTAATGTTTGTTGTCGTTTAGTTACAGTATATAATATGAATTACAAGTATGTTATCAATCAATTAGCATATTATGGGGACATTCAATGGGAAGATAAGTCTAAACAATTAATTGAATCAATTGTCGAGTGGAAGAACACATTACGCTTAGTTCGGGTCACAAAATGCATACAATCTACATCTCGTTCGTCAATCACTATATCATTCAAATTTAATTACATTTATAAAATATAAGAACATGTTAAAATTAGTTTTTAAATATTTCGATGATTAGATGCAATGGACTTAACAAATGAAATGTTTATAAATGAAGTAAATTAAGACAATCAATAGATTGCTTGTTGTTTTGATTAACATAATTGTACACCAATTGTGTACCGCTTTTTTGGACAGTGAAGTGCATGCGAACCATCATTAAACTCATTTGTGGTGATTATAACACACCATAAGAAACTCAATTATAAACTAAGAAATATAATCAATGTATCAACTCTTAAAACATGCATATAATGGCTGAATGTAATGAGTGCTCAAAATATTATAAGATATTTAAGTTTAGAAAAATAAACTCATAGTAAACTCAAAGCTATATAGGAATTACTTGTCTCACAAATACATTATTAGTGTTAAAACAAAACAAAAAATATAAATAAAAGGACAAAAAACTAAAAGAAAAATACTTAATTCAAAGTAAAAACTATAGACTGATTATGAAAAGTGCAGTCAAAATAGATCCAACATTTAGAGTGGTTTAGGTCAAGGATTTGCGGGTTTTGTCGAAGTGGCGGAGCGGAGTGGGTCGGGAGAGGGGATGCATTTGATTCAAGTGATTGTTTAAACTGGTCTTCCATTTGAACTGTTTGTGACAGAGGGGACAGACGTAACGCTCGGAGGACTTGATGTGAACGCTGCGGATGTGATCGATGATGTTTTGTTTGCTACGGAAACAGTGCAGACAATACGAGCACCGATACACCGGCGGTCCGTCCGCTTCGATCGACTCGTACTGATAGTTGAGTTGTTGCGGAGACGAGTCCTGAGAAGTGGTCGCCGCCCCCGACGACGACGAAGCGGTGGCCGCCGAGCGCTGTTTGGCCGTGAATTTGGTGGTCGTCTTTTCGGGGTCTTTCGGCCGCCACTTAATTAGCGAACTCGACGGTAGAGTCGAGACTACAGTATTGGGGAATTATATGTACACTTTGTTTTAGAAAACCCATTGCCTTTTTGTTTGCTTTTTTGGTTTAATATTTTGTTTATTAATATCCAAACATTTGTTCAACAAATTGAACACTAATTGAAAATATTATTTAATAATTAATAAATAATAAGTTTTTTTTTGTATTTTTTGTATTTTGTTTGTGGAAAACAACAACAATTTGTTTGCGAGAATCGTTTTGTGATATTTGACGACAAACTAAACACAACTTCTAATTCTCTGCATTAAAAAGAATATCAATAATCGACTCATAAATAATAAATCAAAAAATAAAGAAAAATCATAATTATATTAAATTATATAAAAATTATAATTGAAATTATAAACGAAATTATAATTATAATTAGAAAAAGATATTTTCAATTAGTCTTCGGTTATTGAAAGATATAAAATCAATCGTTTGACTCACTTTGAGGCTTAACCGGCGTTTTGTTCCGGACCTGAGCCGCAGCCGACGATTGGGATGTCTGCGAGCTTTCGTCTTCAGACTTGATTGGTGTCACTTTGTTCTCAGCGACCAATGGCTGCGCTGAGCTGTCGGTCACCTCTTTGTCTTTGTCTTTATCTTTGTCTTTCTCCTTATCCTTATCTTTATCCTTGTCTTTGTCTTTAGATTGTTTGTTGCCATCAGTGGGTGAAAAGGTTTGCTTTCGGCTGCGAGTGTTGGGCGTCAGAAGGAGTGAAGAGTTGAGGCCATCAGCCGTTGCCGAAGTGGACGCAACGCCTATCTCTAGTGTGGACTCTTCTTTGGAGGGCGTAACGGTCTTCGGGTCGTCCACCGAATGAACTCGACTTCGGCCGCGGGTCAGTCTCGGCGACGGAGCTCTTCGATTGTCCACAAGAGTTATTGTCGAACCGGTCATCGGGTCGTCGCCCGCGATATCGACGTCCGTATCGTTCGCTTTTTGTGTATCAGTTTTATCGGTGGTTTGTTTCGTATCGTTAATGCCTTTGGGAAGTGTGTATTCGCTGTACTTAAGAGGTACTCTTCGGGCTCTGGAATGCTTTAGCATGTGTTTCTTCATCTGCTGACCGCCGCTGTTGTCATTCGTCTCCAATTGATTGGATTCGTCGATCAGTTGATTCAGTGGCCGCTCGTTATCTTCGATCACTTGTGGTTGAGAGTTGTCGTCCGCGTCCTTATGGTTGGCTTTAATGGCAATTTGTTGAGTCCACGACCGGAGCTTAGATTTCGCCAATTTGTCCTTCGCGTCAACGCTTCCGTCCAGATCTTCGCTTTCATCGCATTCTTCGGCCTTTTTGACGGCTGGCGTCGCTTCCGAGTCCGAGACGGGCAACTCGTTCTCGGGTTTTGGCACAACCAATGGTTTCTTTCGTTTGCGACCTCTGCGGGCGGGAACAGTGGCCACACCCGTGCTGTCGGTGGGGCTGGAGGTGCGGCTCTTGTCCTGATGAGCGTTGTTTTCGCTCAGATTCTGTGCGTTGGGATCCAATTGACACAAACTGCTGACCCCCAGAATCTCTGCGCTCTTGACCAGCGACGAGAGTTGTGTGTGAGGAATGGTCACCTGACCCCTGTACATGAACTCCAACATCGCCGACAGATCCGGCATTTGGATGCCGTTCACGAAGATTATGGGATACTGTGTCTGGCCGTTGATCGACGACAGGATCTGCTTGAAGTACGAAGAACTGGCGGCCAGAATCACCCGATGGGCCTTCACTACGTGTCCGCCGCAACACAACGAGATATCGCACAGCGATTCGTCCAAAAACATCGACTCAAACGCTTCGGCCATTTTCACCGAATGGTTCACTCGAAGAAGTTGCAGATTATTGCTTCCCGCGTCGGCGCTCGTGTCCGCCATCTTGTCCTTCGGGTTCTGCTCTTATAATTCAAAGCCTATTCAATAGACGAAGAAGTGGTTAAGAATCTAATCAATTGTTCGGCCGGTCTTGGGATCAATTGATTGCGTCAAATCATCAATGTTTGCGTGACTATTAGTGATAGGGCTTAAAATGATGGTTAAATAACGACAGACTTTTGATCCCAAGAATATGTCAATTGTATAGACAATCGATAAAATGAAAAGTCATTAAAACAATGTTTTTTTTAACTTTTCATTAATTAAGTCTCTAATGAATTGTCTCTCGAAATGTGTGCACAAAAAAGGGACAAAACTTTTTGCTATTTTTAAAATGCTTTCCTTTCGTGTCATTTAATAACGATTTCAATGAATGTGTAATTCATTTAGAAATCAATATTTCAATAATAATTGATTTCATTAAACGTTTTAATGGTTTCAGTCATCGGAAAAAAACAAAACAATATTTTCCACAAAAATATCAAAAACTCAATTAAAACCTCAAATATTGTCAAAGAAATGGACTTTTTTTATAGTCAATGAAAAATAAAATCCAATTTATAATGAATTGAAAACTCAATTAATGAGGAAATGAATGAATGAAATGAAACATAAAACTCATATTTTGAGTGATAATTGAGAGACAAATGCAAAATGAAATGAAAAATATCTCACAAATAGACAGACAATTACAGAGCGATTGGTAAACATATGAACGTATAATCAATGGTTGGGATGAATGGCAATGAAATACCTGTTAATTATGGGACTCGTGGACAGAGTTAGTGGTGATTAGTGTAGGGCTTGTATGGCGTGAATGTGTGTTCAGATCGGCGACTGATTTGAGCGCTCGTGTTGTGACAATCGTTGGCCGCGAGTGTGCTTACAGTTCAGCCATTGTCTACAGTGTCTGACACTGTGTTTCACTACCAGTCCTTCCAAACACTCCAAACACTGCTATAACGCACACCATTCACACCATTCACACCGCATGGGCTTCACTGCATTGCTCTCATTCTCTCCAAAGTGCATGTATTTCATGACACAAACCCAGCGCTCAATTCCTATCCAAATAATCATTTTCTTCTAACATTTTCTTGTTTTCTCATTTTATTCAATATTTTTTAGGTTTCTTTTCATTTTGTTTTTATTTTTATGAATTTTATTTCATTTTCTTCCCATTAATTTGATTGAAATTTTGAGTTGAATTCACTGTAATTTTTGGCCGTCTTTTGTTGAAACGGGTATTGAAATATTGAGGCGATTAAATGTATGCTTCGTATGTCGTATGTATCTTTAGAAAGTATGCATACCTTTGGATACATACGGTTCTCTCTCTCTCTCTCTCTCTCTCTCTCTTCTTTCTTTCTTTCTTTCTATCTCCTGTCCCTCTCCGTCACTCACATCGTATTGTTTCCTACTCTTTGACATTAAGGTCAGGAGTTTTGTAGAAAGTGATAGAAAAGTCGATTCCTAACTATTCCTATATTCGTCAATAAAAAGGCAGCAAAAGTGAGCAAAAAAGGGAACAGTTTGCGAGTTCTCGCAGACGTCATAGCGATCTATGCAATGGTTGGTCTGTTATGAAGAGTGTGTCGGCGTTTGCTATAAAACTAAGCATTCACTCAATTCTCTTCTCTCTCCAACTCGTTATCACACAATCATTTAAGAGTAGAGAATAGAAAACACAGTGAGAGGGAGAGAAAGAGAAAGAAAAGTTTTACAATCATTTGTTTCAATAAATTATTTTAAAAGAAACTTTTTTAAGTTAATGTCGTATGTATCTTTAGAAAGTATGCATACCTTTGGATACATACGGTTCTCTCTCTCTCAACCCTATCATCGATATAATACTTACGTCTTCTCGCTTTCTCTCTTATCAAAGTCTATATAATGTAAAAAATTTTAATGTTAAAAGAAAAAGAAAATGTTCTTAATGTTTAACCAGAATATAATATTTAAAACGAGATATAGTGTTAAGAAGTACTGACAAAAGTACATTAATGGTATTAATAATTGAGAAAAACCATATAAAACTATTACATCAATCATCTGATGCATTGATTATCACATAAATAGCATTTTTATCTAAGAATTACAAGAAATCGATTCCCAAACTAAATGACATTCATTGTTGTCATTCAGTTATGGCACACATTCTCGACACCAGTTGTAGATTAAAATTATATCAGAATTTTATTTTTGGAAACTCTTTTTCTCGGATTTTCTTATCTTCTGATTACAACTCACGAGTGCTTTCGTAATGAAGAGATGAGATATCAATCAGATTTTGATTACCAGTTCATTGGCTATTCATATGGTTTTGTGTCGATTATGTCTATCTATTGAATGTATGTCTGTATTCATAAACTAATTATTATATCTTTATTCATATGATCTGTTAATCAACGCTTGCATTCAATTAAAGGCATTCATTGAGAATTGAACTCAATTTCTGATTTGAATAATTTGTTGTGAAATTATTGAGGAAAAGTTCATAAAAGGATTATTGCATATAATGTATGGGTTGTGTGAATCGTATGATTTGTTTTCTTATTTATTTTCAAACATTTCGTCCGAAAGGACTAATAAATTGTAATTATATTTAATTGAGTTAAAAAATAATAACAAATTTTCCTTTTGTTTATTCATTTCAGTCAAAACAGTATTTATCTAATTGTTTACACGACTTGTTTTTGGTTAGAGATGTCTTAAATTTCATAAATATTTTTGTTTAATTTGATTCAACAATACTATTTTGAAATATGATATAAACTATGGAGTTAATATTGAACTAAATACACTTGTTGAGATTATATAAATCTCTTACATTATTGTGTAATTTTAATTCATTAAATTAGTTATGATTTGATGTAATAATACCGGACTTCCGACTCGGAAGTACAGCTCTTCTCTTGTACTTTGAGAAGCGATTTCCAATGGCTTATGAAATACAATACATTTACCAAAGAAAGAGTAACCGTTATTATAATCTTTATGATTATTGTCATAGAAAACAATGCATTCAATATCGCAGACAACTTTTACATTGAAACAGATAAATATATTGCATTAAAAATATGGTTCAGTTAAACACTTATCAAATGTCTCGCCATTCACTTCACACACAACCAAATATTTATTTTAAATTTTATAAATTGTGTTTTATATGTAAATTAAAAGCTTGTTTTAAACTATTTATATAAATTAAATAATAAATAAATAAAATTGTATACTTTTTTGTGTAAACATTTTTGAATAATCTTTAAAATTTTTGTTATAAAAATTGAAATTTATTCATAAAATAAAAAACACACATTTATCAACAAGATCAATCGGTTTTCTGCGCTGATTATAATAATAGTGAGTCATTAATTTACTTAAAAAACTATATAAATGTTTAAATTAAATTAAAATAATTAAAACAAACATTTAATTTATTGAAGGATAAGGTTAACGGTTCGCACAAACACTGCGTTCACTAATCGATCATTAAATCGGCGAAAAAAGCAGTAAATCCGCTGACAATTAGCTATAAATGGGTTACGAAATAACCCGCTTTGAGAGTACAGTCGACGACGAACTCATTTGCTCCATATGTGAGGGCGTCCTCCAGAACCCCATACAAGTGGTCACTTGTGAACACGTCTTCTGCTCGGACTGTCTCGAGGATTGGCTCGACAAAGGAAAGCACACGTGTCCTCTCGATCGGGAACAGGTCAACCGCGAGGATCTCAAGACACCCCGAATTGTGTCCAATCTGTTGGCAAAATTGTCGATTAAATGCGATTTCGCTGATTATGGCTGTCAAGTAGTCGTCAAACTCGAGAATCTGGCCAAACATTTGACTCAATGCGCGTTCAATCCCAACACTCCTATGCAATGCGAGAAAGGCTGTGGACTAATGCTGGCCAATAGAGCCGAGTTTGAGGGACACAACTGTATGGAAAAGTTACACGCATTGGTCAGAGGCCAGAGCGAGCAGTTAGAGGCACAACAGCGACAGATCAGTGAACTTCGCGACGCTTTCGTCTCATTCAAGAGCACACACAAGAAGTTTGACGACGAGATCAATAAAATGCGACAAACGGTCAGCAGTTATGAGTTTAAGATGTCTGTCGAGCAAAACAAAACCCAAAAGCTGGTCGACTGTATGGCCAACTGCGCCAAAGAGATGCAAAATTGTCAAAATAAGTTCAAAGAATATTCTGGCCGTAATAGTAAAGCAAAAAGCGTTTGCGTTCAATTCAAAGATAGCTCTATAGATGTGGATCCGTACCAACGGATCGGCGAATTGAAGCAAAATCTAATGAAATTGTTTAACATAAGGACCGGTAAATTGAAATTATTTCGCGGTTCCGATGAATTGGAAGACTTAAGGTCTATAATGGACTACAGTGTGAACGAAGTGCCCGATCCGAGGCTATCGTTGGTTCAATGCGATGAAGTGCAGGTCTTTGTCAAGATTCGGGTCATGAACTCAAAGGAAAATATGAGACACCCGTACCTGAGCTCCGATTTTCTGCCCAAAACAGTGGCTCTAAGAATCGATAGGAACGGATCCATTGGACAGTTGAAGGCAGAGATTCGACTCATTCATAATATACAGAGTGAAGAAGTATTGCTAACTTATGGTACGATTACACTGGAAGACGATCACAATCTCAACTATTATAACATAACCGACGGATCGTTTATTAATTATTACGCCCATCTATAGACTACAGTGTATTTTCTATGCATTGTTATCATACAATCAAATGTTTGACCAAATGTTGCCACTATAACGGGGTTTCCAAGAATACAGCCGTTGGACATATATTATCGATAAGATAACGATTTTATGGATTCGTTTAAATAGTATTTCTAAATATTATTATTATGAATATAAATATTATTAGATTTATTTTATGTATACAATGCTATATAAGGCATAGATCTAAGAAAATATTGTATATGTTTTTGAACTACATTTACAGATAATTTGTAGTTTTAGTTTTTCGTATATAAATTTCCTGTTATATACAGATCTTGTGATCCGTGTCCCACATTTGTGGCTAAGATTTGGTCAAACTATACGTCCCCACCAGTGCTCTCACACATATACCCATCCATTCATTATTCATTGTATTTAATTAAATTAATTTAATAAAATTGTTTGCAAATTACAAGAAGAATATTTGCATAATTTATTCACACATAAGATTGCAAATTATATGCAAACATAACTAAAACAACAATTTAGCGCAAATTATTTTCTCAAATACATTGTAATCGAAACAATGCATGACTTTGAAAAAAATTGTTATATAAGTTTTGCCTAAATTAGTGCTAATGTTATAATCGATATCTGAATTTCAAATGCCTTTCAATGCTAAACGCAAAATCATTTGTGTGTAAAAATTATCCATGAAAACGATATTTAACAACAAATGAGTGACTGAATGCTATTTTTTGTGAAATTATTAAAAATTTGCGAAAAATTATAATTATAAATAAATTACTTTGTTTTTCAACACACAGAGAGATATTAATATCACACGTAATATACTTTCTAAATGGCGTGTAATTATACCGTAAATAATTATGAACTAACCCTCGCATTGGTTATTGAAAACAATACGGCAGACAATGTCAATAGCGTCCCATTTAATTAATTATTAACTCAATTAAGCCTTGATTTTTCATAAGTAAACTAAATAAACAAAAATTGTTTAACTAATGCTAACAAATCCAAAATTAATGTAAATTCATGAGTGTTTTTATGTATGATTACAGTGTGTTTGCTAAATGATATTGTTTGTCGAGATTATCCTTATTTTTTGGGCACACTTTTCTCACTCACCTTCTCATCGCATGCCATACACTGAAATGAGTTGTGATTTTTTTTTGTTAGTTTAAAAAACGGTTTAATCTATAAAATATTCATTTATTATCCCCTTATTTCTAATACCATTACAATCTAAACAATTTTTTAATGTCATAAAAGCTGTTTTCGCACAAAATATCATATCATATCTGATAGTCAAAGAGTGACATAATTTTGCAGTTTTATTGGCAAACATTGTGTGGGATATGAAATGTGTCGTTGAGTACTGAAAATAGAGAGTGAAATTCTTCAACACTCCTAACGTTATTCTATATACTATTTAACTCAATATGTGTTGTAATGAATGATAATAAAAAATGCATTAATAATACATTGTATTAGATGTCACATTTGTAACTACACTATGCAATCTCTCTCTCTCTCTCTCTCTCTAATATGTTGAGGTAAATAATCTCCCGGATTGTTTGATTAACTAATCACTAGTAAACTAAATGCAATAACAATTCCTAAAAAATAAATTTAATAATAAAATTGATAACTTTTCGTGTGATTAAATTGACGATAAATTTATTAATTATAGAAAACATTATTGATGTCAGTATTATTGCAAAATTCCTATTCAAATCATTCGGTTAATTAGATTTAAGCTAAAAGTAATTTAGGATTGCTCTGACTTGTGAGACTTGTCCATAATTTGTGTCATAACAGTCATAGCAAATGGATATTTAATGCTTTCTACGCTATACATAATCATGTAAATAGACTACAACTGATGAGTTTAATCATGGATTAGACACTTTATCCTAATGTGGTTTGAGAAGAGAGCTGTCTCATGGAATGAGAGAGAGAGAGAGAGAGAGAGATGTGGTCAATAACAAAATTATACCAGAATTAAATTCACTCACTATGTTACACAAGAATTATTTGTTGAGATAAACAATTAGATGTTTGTTTAAATACAAAATCTTAATGAGAACTTTAAAAATGTTTAAGATTTTATGTTAATTTAAAGTCAAAACTTATGTTTAAGTCACTCAAATTTACTAAAAATTTGTTCATTTATCAAATGGTATTGATTTGAAAAATAAAAATCTTATAAAGTATGTGATCAGCACTTTTTGAATATTCATTTTATATGCCAAATATGTACACTAAAATCAAGTGTATGAACTCTCTCTCTCTCTCTCTCTCTCTCTCATTCCATGAGACAGCTCTCTTCTCAAACCACATTAGGATAAAGTGTCTAATCCAGGGCATAGTATGTATACTTTTGAGACACACTATTTTGTCAATGACTACCTTATGTATGCTCTCTCTCTCTCTCTCTCTCTCTCTCTCTCTCTCTCTCTCTCTCTCTCTCT